CCTTCAAACTTTTTTTTGCCCGCAATACTACTGGCAGCGCGTTGCCGCTGACGTCACTAGATCCGTAAGGACACGCTCATACGGGACACGCTCAAGGTGCCATCGACTAGTCACACTTCTGCCACCCATAATATCACATCACCTGCCGTTTCAGCAAATCGAGACCGACTTGCTGGGGCCGTTCACTACATCGACTTCCAGAAGAAGATAGATTATCGTAGCTACTGATTACTCCCCCCCCTCTACACCGACACAAAGGCCCCGCCCAAAGGCGATGCTTCCGAGGTAGCCGAGTTCTTCACTGAGAACATCGTCCTGCGTCATGGCACCCCACAGGTCCTAATCAACGACAGAGGTAAGACATTTACCGCTTACGTAATTCAGATAATATTGAGATACAGCCTGACAAGTCACCGCCAGGCCACGTGGTCATTCAAGAATCGACGCAAATGACGTCGTACTCTAATGACGTCGTAGTCTAAGGAGGGACCTCGGCAGCGACGCTCGACGCAGCCGTGACAGTGGCAGAGCAGTAGGCGTAACACTTGACTGTTGCACACTGCAGATCGGCATCTGTTTCAAGGCGTCACTGTGCCAGTGTAAATAGCAATTCTGATGGACACGCGTGACTGCGCAGCAAGATAGCGCAAGAGCAATACAGAAAGATGTCGCGCACAGGCTTTGTTCACCGGGTCCAGACTGCGCAGGATGGACGACAAAAGCAGGACCACCGTTTGGGTGTGGAGCTACTGCTGCTGCGTACGGAAGCATTATTTTGGCAGTGGGGACAGCGGCTGAGCAACAGGCGTAACCCATGACTATTGTACTATGCGGGTTAGCAAATTTTCAATTTATTTCTAAGTCTAATGGACACATTATTGCTGTCACTGCTGCCCCCGTTTGCTTTTGTGACTATAATAAAATGTTTTTTTGAAATCCTAGAAGTTTACATAATTACCCGTAATGCCTAACGAATTCAACTATTTCCTTCAAGACGTGAATTATTTTATTAGGCAAAGCACCGTCTGATTCATGGCTTATCCCACCGAGTGGGTTGAGCCAAGCTGTTGAGGAATCAATCATTGGAGGGGATTGGCTTAGTAGGTGAATTTTCCCCACAATTGCAGCGTTATGTTATTCTTAGGTCAACTAGTTATTAATTGTAATTAGTTGCTGATCGGAATTTTCAATTACTAGCAATGAAAAAAAATGTGCGCGCCGAATTTAGCAGGAGATTATTTGAGTCCCAGTGGTATAGTTCTGAATGGCAAAGAAACCATCCCTGTGGCTGTACCCCGGAGCTGTGGCCCCCAAAGAAGAACACTTTTTCATAGTTCCAGGCCCAGTTTTCTTGTGAATCATAACAATTCACAATGATGACTCTTGAAATAACACCGCGTGTCTTCCTCCTTTAGGATGAACTGGGGTAAAAATGAAACACAGGGACTCGGCGAAGTGCGAAAATTTTGACTATGCCGGCTTTTGTAGATAATACGAGAACTACTTCTCTTTCTGTCTTTTTCCAGCGATAAGTGCTTGTACTTTTCTACCTTTTCATGTGTGCTTTATGATTGTTTACAACCATTGGACGAAAACAAATTACGCGGCTGACGCGAGTGTGTTCACGATCCGTCATAATGGGGGGAAATTCTGCTCGGTTAAATTTTCGGATCCGTGCATGAAGCTACTACATCAAAACTTTAGTTCATTTGGTTCCTGAGGAATTCTGACATGCGAGAGGGGCAAAACGCGACAAAAAGGCATCCTATTGCCTGAGAGTGTGTTATTAACTCAGCTATCTATTTACAATCATTACATGATATATTTATTTTTAAGAGAGTTCGAACATAAAACAATATCATATAGAGCTTCCTGGGAGGAAGCCAACATGAAAAAAAGCACTGATGGCCGTTCAGGACATGACTCCCTTCATTCGTGCTACATCGAGGTTTTTCCGTGTTCCCAAGGATGCTCTCAAGAGACGCCTAAAAAATAGTGAAATCTTCAAGTCAAGTCACTCGCAAAAAATGTCTCGGGATTGAGTTTTAATGACGTTCCTATAACGCTCTCATCAAAAAAAAAAATCGCTAGAAAAATTCGATTCTAGCCCTGTTTTAAATTCATATCCTCACAAAGCCCGGCGGTGAAGTTAAAAGCCATAAGTGCCAGAGCAGTTGTGCATCAAAACGGCAAAACGAGGTGAAGAAGGTACGCCAAACATATCTAGCATCTAATCATTGAATAATTCAATTAGGTACAAGCGTTCAACAAAATACAACTTAAGCGTAAAGAAAGACTGGTGGTGTTTCATCTGCAAGAAGCTTTGGAACAACGCAACGCCGCGAGCTGTCCAGATTCAATGTGGGGATTCTAAGGACTGGCCTCCTGAAGACTGCATAAAAGCCCACAGAGTGAATTTCGAGTATTTCTACATAAAAGAGAAATAATAGAAGGAATGAATTTCTCTTTCACGCTGTCTCAATTTGTCCCTGAATTTGGGGCAAAATGACACGTAGAGCATATATTTATTTTTACAAAAAATGTTTTGAACAGTGTCAACAAGGCAATATTAATTTAGCACATACCTTGCACTCGAAGCAATGTTTCGGAATCGGTATTTAATTGTACAGAGTGAAATCAAAATATTACCTATTTTAAAAATTTTGTCGCATTTTATTCCACCATGCACCACTATATTAGATGCACACAATCGTGTAAAACTGCACGTTCTATGCATTTTTTTAGGAAACGTGTTGGCCAAATATTGCATTGTCTCCGGAATACGCTCCCATTTTTGCTTACTGATGGAATATAACAGATAGCTATTCTGATTTAGGTCGGTCATAGTGAGAACATATTGATTTAGCTTGGTCGGTGCCTTTTTCATTCGAATGAAAGTACTACGCTGACTCTGAAGGTCCTTTTTTACGGCGCAATGTCCTTGTGCGGCCACAGCGTTTGCTAGGCACGACGTGAAGCCTCGGGATCCACTGCACAGACTCGCTTAAAGCCTCGCCGTGGTGGTACTATGGTACCCGGCTGAGGTGAACCCTCTAAAGACGCTAGCATGCAACTTTTCCTGGCTCACCGCTACTCCAAGCTTCCGTAGTGGCGTCACTAGTCCGGTTAGGGGTTGTCACCCATAGGAGGAGGAGGAGGAGGAGGAAGGGAAGAAATGAAAGGCAGGGAGGTCAACCAGACGCACGTCTGGTTTGCTACTCTGCATTGGGGAAGGGGTGAGGGGATTAAAGAAGAGAGAGAGAAGTGAAGGGCAACGTGTGTGTAGATGTGACCTTGTCCATTGCACGCTTATAAGCGGTCGCGTAGCCCGGTCGTCTTTAGAAAACTTAGCAGTGCTCGCGTCGCTTTGCTGGCCTGTGACGCGTACAGCCATGAACCAAGGATCTTCTCTTCGGAGAAAGGTCTACTGTCTAGTGTCTCTAACGTTTCGCGTAGCAAGTTGCGTTCGCTCGAAAAACGCACAGGGTTTCCTAAAATTTACTAGAAAAGACTATGGCGCTAGTGTTTTCAGCCAGCAGAGGAATGGTGGGAAGTACACAAATTTGGCTAATCATCATTCTTTCTGCTCTGTTTCCGCTCAATGTGGCCTAAATCCGCTTCACCGCGAGACGAAGTTCGGCAAGCATTTAACGCTTACGCTTCACCGCCTTGACCTTTTAGGCCTCATTAACTGAAATCGGGTCCCGAAGTTCACAACGGCGCGTTTTTTAATCAGAAACAGAATCAAAACACAGAAACAAAGCCGCAAGTGTGTTCGAAGCCTGCAAGCAGGAAGTTAGTCGAATTTGAGCACTAACCACATGACTAACCATCATCCCCATGGCCGCTGAACGGTCACAGCGCCTGAGTTACCGCTAGTTGAATTTAGGCAACTCAATTGCTTAGGCTAGTAGGCGATTCAAGATGGGGGATGTAGCTCAAATTGAAGGTGAAAAACACATAAGAGGCACCAATATTTGTGACACACACTTACGTTGGCCAATTCCTCAGCGTTGGTGTGTGCTACAGAATCCAGGCTCTTCTACTCTTGAACGTAGTCGGATCAGAATCAAACTCGAGGACTTATTACTTACCCGGTCTATGCACCCTTAGTCGGTGCTTCTTGTATTCAAGCGAAAGCACTACTACGCTGACTTTTGAGCTTATTTATCACGTAATTAATTTATAAGAACGCTGTTCGATTTAGTAAGCGATAGAGTATGTCCCACAGCTGGACCATATAGTGTCCCAAAGTTAACTAGAAAAGAGCTCTGCCGCTGCGGTTGTTCAGCCACAATGGGAATGATGGGTTGGCTCTCGAATGCTGTGGCTCAGCGGTACTCATGAGCAGCTTGGCCACAGAAACGGCCAAGCACGTTTAGTATTATCTCATTGAGTATAATTGATCCCATTGATCCCATCGAGTGTAATTCACTGGGAGTGGTTACTGTATTTCACCGGTCTAGTTATTAGGTTAGGCCAACTCTTGTTCTCACAAGAGTTGGTAGCTTATGGTTCTGTATTCTTCGTCCACCGTTGGTGCTACCGCCCTCGACGGGAACCACATAGCTGCGTTTACATCACCAAACGCACCCAACTCGGCTAGCAGTGGCTATGTACACTCGTGCGCAATCGCAACTCCACGACTAAATGTTAACCTGTGTATAGTTTCGTGATCAGATTTGCGATGAAGTCTTGCCTTAATTACACGTGTATACACAGGCCTTAAATAAACATGCCAAGTATACCTTTGGTTCCGTGATACATAGGTTTGTGAGTTAAATGTGGGTCATTTTTTTGGAGGATTCGGCAATTAAAAGCGAAAAAACACCGACAGCCTGTATGTAAAAAGAAATCCATGGTACTTCTTGTTGGCCTGCTTTTGTGCACCGACTTGCTTTCTTAGAAATTTGTATGACCTGCCTCGGTTTCCGAAGGCCAGCATGTGAGTTGGATGAAGAGCGCCAGAATAAAGTTGGTGTTCTTTATTAGACCATTTGGCACCTTTCCTTTACTACTGCGCATAATCTGGATTCGATTCAATGATTGTAATGAAAAATAAAGAATACACATTATGGCGTGGGAATCATACGCGAGTACATTCTTCATTTTTTCTCTCTCTTTCATTAGAGGTGACCTAAATATCATAAAATCTTCGAAGATTTCGAAGTTCAGCGGCGATCACTTTCGTCGCTTGAGGCGGTTTTCTTGGAGCTTCGACCGGACCGAGCTCGCTCGCGTGTGTGCAGGTCGGCGATGAGGTTCTGCTCCACAATCTGTTCTCGCCTGATCCTCTGCTGCACGGACCGAGGCACGTCCGGTATGAGCGCGGCCACGAGCCACTTCACGAAGAAGACCACGTGCTGCGAATACGCAGAAAACAAAGCATCATAAAGTAAGGTATAGAGATAATCCCCTGTATTCACAAGCGCTCTTCGACTCGACTTTCACCTTTCACTTGACAAAGTTGAGCACTGCGCCACCACTCGGCTGAAAATGACACTGCGCTACTCAAGAATCGCAGCAGACTATTGCTGATATGCAGTAACTTGCCGCGCCTAGAGATGGCACTCCCATCGACTTTCCCAAGTGAAGGCGAAGCGTTGAGTGAAGGCAAGTTCTAGAATACGGGGGAATGTTTCCACGCGGGTCTGTTGTTCCACTTAAGGTGTACTTGGTTTACGCCTACATAGACCGTCAGCAATTCGCGGCGCCGATCGTCTTCGAGAAGCTCCCCGATCGTAGTATATCATTTTTGTTAAGATTGTTGCGCGAGACACGAACAATTAGGCTCATTTCAGAGATTCCACGATTACCATTGATAAGACTGGACAGTTCGACGCAGGAAGTGTAAGTGATCACCGTTGGGATCAGTTGATCGACGGCCGACGCTCCAATAGCAGTGCCACTGTGTATCGCTGTAATCTGGCTTTCCTTTTCCCGGCCACACGTTCAGTCTAACAAAGTTTCACCTTGGGTATACAGTCTGCTGCTTTCGTCAACGTCACGACCAGGTGACAATATAAAAAGTCCCTGTTGTGCATCCCTCAACCACTATATGATTACGAAGGTTACTGTAGCGGAGGGTGCCTGAAATTTTGACCACCACTAGTTCTATAACCTGCGGGTCTCTAACATTTTTGCCGGCATCGAAAGTGCCGTCGCCGCAGCGGGGATTCTATCCCGTTGCATTCGATTCACCGGTTAGGCGCCGTAAACCATTCGACCATAGAGTTTCACAAAATTAACAAGAGAGAACTCTGGCGCTGCAATCGTTCAGTCACCGGGAAAATGTTGAAAGTGTACACGCATTTACCCAATCTTCGTGCTTGAGGCCTGGAACGCACTTGTGCCTTCGTTATTTATTTGTTGTGTTTTCGTGTTTTTTTCTGATAAAATAATGAATCGTTGTAAAATTCGACGACCGGATTAGTGCTCGTGATAGGTTAAGGCGGAGAAGTGAAATTTCTGATCGTTTGCTGATTGTCTTCTCGTGGCAAAGTGGCTTTGGGTCACGCGAAGCCAAACGAAGCCGAAAGAACGAAGATTAGACAAATCCGTGCATTATCCATCATTTCCACGCTGGCTGACATGCTGCGTGTTGCAGCTTCCACAGACACTAGCGCCCGAGTTCCCTTGATTGATTGATTGACATGTGCTGTTTAACGTCCCAAAACCCCCATATGATTATTAGAGACGCCGTAGTGGAGGGCTCCGGAAATTTTGACCACCTGGGGTTCTTTAACCTGCACCCAAATCTTAGCACATGGGCCTACAACATTTCCGCCTCCAACGGAAATGCAGCCGCCGCAGCCGGGATTCAATGCCGCAACCTGCGGGTCAGCAGCCGAATACCTTAGCCACTAAACCACCATGGCGGGGCTCCCGAGTTCCCTCTAATGTATTCATAAGAAACTCTACCATTATGGTGGGTGGTGATAATGATATGTAAAAAAAGTTCACAGGTTCCCTTAGGCTTCCACTTAATAGAGCTCGAACGCAAAAGCCTTCTTTTTTTCTTCTGTCTATATAGTGATCTTGGCCCCGTCGAAAGCTTTTCGCACTTAACGCGGTTCTCTGCTGCCTCCAAGGTCGTAAGCACCTGAGGTGCCTTTTCATTACTTCCGTGATTAGAACACCTCGAGTAAGCTACCAGGACATGTGATTACGTCATCGTGTGACATTACGTCACTTGACGTTACGCTGACGTCACGAAACTCAGTGAGCTGTGTGGCCAGCGCGACGTCACAGGAAGACGTCACGAGGTGATTCAATGAGGTTGAGAGCCGGGCTAGAGCTGTGGCCTTGTTAGGGAGTATCGTAGCGAGTGCCGAGTTCCTTCTTGTCTCCTTTGCTCCCGTCCCTAGTGCGCCACTTTCCCGTTCGGAAGAATGATAATGAGGTGATTGTTCCTTGTATCCCTCGGCCCCTGCGCTGCGGGACACCAAGGGACAAATGTCGCATTCGGTAAAGCACTTATTGCTTTCGTCTCGACAGCAACTCTTGCGGCGAAATTCTCGAAGCTGAACTGCGGTATGGCGAGGAGCACCTATTGGTCAGGGACACACGCGCTACTAAATCACTATTTTGTTCCGTTTAAATAAAGGGTGGATAGCCAACAGGGGCCGTCATTGCACAGCGCTATTCAACACTGGTATTATATGGCTGCGCACGGCATACTACATCATGCAAATCCCAACCCGCTGTGGTGGTCACGTAGCTAAGGTACTCGGCTGCTGACTCACTGGTCGCGGGATCGAATCCCGGCGGTGGCGGCGGCTGCATTTCTGATGGAGGCAGAAATGTTGTAGGTCCGTGTGCTCAGATTTGGGTGCACGTTAAAGAACCCCAGGTGGTCGAAATTTCTGGATTCCTCCACTACGGCATCTCTCATAATCATATGGTGGTTTTGGGAAATGACCCCCCCCCCCCCCCCATATCACTCAATGAACTCATGCAAATCACACACTTTGTTTTTCCCTTCAAACTTCACTTTCAACAATAAAGAATTTTCTGACTATTACTTGATCTGGTGATCTAGATACCTCGCCTTACGTTGCTGTCTAGTGCGTACAAATCGGCATCCCCTCCAGAAGCTTTGTATGGGAACTGATAAAACAAAACGCATCCGATTCCGCCTTCAATAAGAGCATCGTTAATCGCTAGTTCTTTGCAAGAGTACAGAGCTCACCGGGGGCTCGCAACTGTAGCGGCTAATGCTGCTGCAAAAACCTGAAAGCTGTGCATGACGACGTGACGAATCATGTTCAGAACTAACGCTCGCAGATAGAGCTAGCATGGCAGCATATGGAATCGCTGTATTGTGAGTGTGCCGAGGGTTGTCATGTGACAAACAAGGAGAAGAGAAACTAAAACTGCGTTTTCTTTTTCACTTCCTGGAGAGTGCATGCTCACCTCAAACACCACTACGAAGATCAGCCTGGCGGCGAATATGTACCAGTAGGTGGCGGTGAGCTCGTATTCCTTCTCCGAACCGGGTGGCTCGCGGTAACCCTTGTACCTGAAAGGGGGAATCAATTCAAACACAATGACGTGTTTATTTCCGCTATATACATTAGGCTTGATGGGGGACAACAAAAAGAAGAAAAAAAAGCTACCTAGAGGTTGATGAACTAATCCGCCGCCATACAGGCGTGTATGGCGTGTAGCGAACAGCAAAGGAAAAAAAAAGTCAGTTAACAAGCGAGAAGATATGATTAGTGCAGAAGAAGACGCACA